GGAGGAGGGGAAGGAAAAGGGGAGGAGGGGAAGGAAAAGGGGAGGAGGGAGAGAGAAGAGGAGGAGGAGCCCACCCACTGATTAGAAACCACATGGTGTAGGGGGTGCTTGGGTGGCTCAGTCCGTTAAGCATCCAACTCTTGATTTCAGCTCAGGTCCGCTCAGCTCCTCACTGACAGCGAGAGAGCCTGCTTGGGATTCTCTCTCTCCCTCTCTCTCTTTGCTCCTCCCTCACTTGCATTCTTGTTCTGTCCCTTTCTAAATACATACATACATACATAAATACATAAATAAATACATAAATATTGAAAAGAAAAGAAAAAAAGAAAAACCACATGTTGTAGTGACCTGGATCCAGGCTCTGGGCTCAAATCCTGGCTCCACTGAACACTGTCTGTGTGATGCTGACACTAAGCTCCTTCACCTCCTATGCTTTAGTTCCCTGGTCTATAAAACCGGGACAGGGGCAGCTCCTACCCCACAGGGCTGTGTGAGCACTGAGATGATCCATGTGATAGGATCAGCACAGGGCCTCACCACCAGGCACTGTAAGTGTGACCGGCACTGCCGTCCCTGTCACCAGCGGCGACCACTGCCTGAGTGTTTATTACACACCAGGCACCGTGCTAAGGACAATGCAAGCCTCCTTTCACAAAATTCTCACAATCCAAGAGGCAAGTACCATCGGTAGCCACAAGTTCACACAGCCAGTACACAGCCGACCTAGGACATGAACATGGTCTGTCCCCGTCCAGAGTCTTTGATCATTACCCTGAACTGTCCACCAAATTCCTAGGTTCTGAGCTCCACACAAGCCCCCTTTGGAGGAGAATTAGGTCTGGACGCTGCTTTCATTCACCAGGGTGGGTAAAAAGTGGTTCTGAGGTCATAGCTCATACAGCAGGGCTGCCATGCTGCACCTGGCCACTAGGTGTCACTACCCAACACATTTCTTCAGAATGGCTCAGGGCCTCCGGGACACCAGTTTGCAAAGTGTGGTCCTAGGTCATCAGCACCAACAGCATCACCGGAGAACTTGTTAGAAATGCAAATTCTCAGCTCCACTCAGACCTAGACCAAACTGGGCAGGCCCACCAACCTGTTCAACAAGCCTCCCAGGTGATTCTGATTCAAGCTATCAGTTTGAGAACCACTGCCCTGGGCAATCGGGCCGCTCCCCCCCACACTGTTTACATTTCTTTAACATTGATTTTCGTTGAACAGAGGGCACTCTGGGCCTGTCCTTTTGGCTACTTTGGAGAAATGTTTGGTAGTAGAAATTGGGTCTGTGGCTCAAACAGGTAGGGCTTCCCCAAGGGCTCAAGGCAAAGATAAGGAACAATCAGCAGGATGCTTACGCACCCAGTACAGAGCAGGAGGCTGCAAGGCGGGCAAGGGAATCAGGAAGGGAAGATGGGACCACAACCCTGGGTAAGGGGGGAGGGGGGGCAGGGAAAGGGAATGGCCAGACTCTTGTGGCTGTTGAAGAGCAAGGATGGGAGAGGTCTGAAGAGCTTCAGGGAGCCCAGCCAGGAAGAGGGGGCGGGGAGGGGGACTAGGGCCTGGAAATGGAGGGATTGGACGGACTTGAGGCAACCTGGAGGGTGGGGAGAGGCTAGTGGCGAGTTGGTTTTAGGGGGAGGCAAAGTGAAAGGTGACCCCCAGAGCTGGGCACCTGGACACCTGTTTAGAGGGAACCCAGCAGAACAAGCAGGCTGGAGGTGGAGGCTGCAGAGAAGGGGCAGGGCACGAGACTCAGGGGGGCCACCGAGGCAGGGTGGGTGGGGGGCCTCACCACTTTGTTCTCGTAGAGCACCAGCCCATAGTTGTGAGGCACGAGACTGAAGCGGTTCCTCCACTTCTTGTTGTCCTCCTGGTACTGGAACAGGTTCCCAGAGAAGATGATGCGCTCATCCAATGGCACCTAGGGGTGGGGCGGGGCAGTGAGTGAGGCGTGGCTTCCCCCAACCGTCCAGCAGGGCAATGGGGTCCCCTGAGAAGGGGACAGTGTGCTCACCCCTTGCTGAGCACATCCCCCCAAGTCCTCCTCTTGGAGGCAAAGCTGCATCTTACCCATGAGGCAGATAAGGAGAGTGAAGTTCAGGGCAATGAAGGGGCTTTCCCAAGGTCCAACCAGAGCCATAGTGATGCCAGGACTTGAACCCAGGCCAGCTTTCAGGGCCCAGCCAGGACCAAGGTCTCCCACTCTGTCCTGGCCCTAGACAGGCACACTCACCTTGGGATAGGTCTCTGGAGTCCATGGCAGGCTGCTAACCCACGCACCCCCCACTGCAGCGTGGAGGGGATATGTCCACAGGCCAGTACGGTGAAGGCCCTAGTGCCAGGGAAAGTCTCTTTCCTGCTCTAGGCCTCAGGTTCCACTCAGGGTAACAAAAACCTGGCCAAGGTGGCTCCAGAGAGCCTCCCCAGCTCTGTCAGCTAACAAAATGGCACTCCACGGATTTGGATGGAGTTGGAGGGGACCTCAATTTGGAGGGTTCAATGTTTGACCTGCATCCTGGCAGACCGATGACCAATGTGGGCATTAGAAACGCCCAGATCTTCCTGAAAAGTCCCAACTCTGACTTCACCTCTGACTCAGTGCGACTTCGGGCCTATCCCATCACCTCTTTGAGCCTCAGTTTCCTCATCTGTAAATGAGAGCAGTGACAGCACTGACTTCACCTAGGTATCCCAAGTATTGCAAAGAATGTGACATGTGCAAGGATCACACAGGCAGTTGGCACCTGACGGGCAGTCCGCTCAGCTCGAGATATGCAGCAGCCAGTGTTAGGATGGCTCGGTCTGTGTCAGTCTCCCCGCTCCACAGACTGACTGATTTGGGGAGGAGGGAGGGTGGCCATCTCTGAGAGCTTGCTTCCTGAGCAAGCCCACACCAGGAAGCTCCAGGGAAGGAGATACAGAGGCCACAGGGAGCAGGCTTACTCCCGGACGGGCGGAGTTGCAACAGCTTCTATCTGTTCTGCAATAAATACGGTGACTTTTGCAAAAACTAAACACGTATCCTATGTAATAACAGGAGAAAGTATTATTGATGTGCCTAACCCTTCCCAGCTTCCTGGCTCGGCTTCGGGCTGCCCCCTGCAGCCGGAGCCAGGTGCAAGCCCTGGTCCCAAGCTGTGGCCCCCGAGGCCCTGCCTCTTCACAGGGGCCCCCTCTTCCCAGCAACCTATCCGCTACTCTTCAAGGGGAAATGCCAAAACACTCTTGGAAAAAGAGGGCCATTGTACTCAAACAATAGGACCCCTCAACTGCTTCCTATCGAGGGATAAAAATGTTTACAGGAAAAGATAATGGTTCCCCCTCCCACGGCCCCCACCCCCACCCCATGCGCACACACAGTGGGCTTTGCCCAAGTCACAAAGCTGTGCTCAGTGGGCTATATGTAGACAGGGACCTCCTCTCAACCCAGCTCTCGAATCTCCATCTTTTCTAGAAAGAAAGAGCAGACCGCTCTCCTGACACCCTGGTGAGACCCTTGCTAGTGAGACCCCAGGCCTCCAGTTTGGAGGCAGGAGCCCTGACTCAGGGGCAGCGGGAGGCCTGGGGAGGCCTTCCCAGCCCCCTCGCCCCCCAAGTCCACCCCCAGATCCTGAGGCAGCCCGTAAAGGGCGGCTACTTGCGGGTTTGGGTTTTATTTTGAAGACTTTCAAATGGCAGAGTCGTGTTTCCATTGGAAGGCCTGCTGGAAATGAAACGGAACCTGACAGCCCAGGCGAAATATTTTGGACTCTGCAAAGCTCTCCAGCGCTGCGAGGGGAATCTTCAATGGGTGGGGGGTGGTCAGAGCGCAGACTCCAGTCCCGGCTCCACCGCCCGTCCCACGGGAGCCCTGGACAAGCGGCTCTGCCTCTCTGAGCCTGAGCCCACGTCACAGGTGTGGACAGAAGTATAACCCCTCAGAACGAGGCCGTGCCAGCTAGATGAGCTGCACCCACACAAAACAACTGCCGTTTTTATCATTTCTGGGTTGTTGCTTTTTTTACTACTATTACCATTGTTATTGTATTATTTCTAATAAAAACAACTGATGTTATTATGACAATTAGTATTATTTCTATTAAGATATTATCATGAGGGGCGCCTGGGTGGCTCAGTTGGTTAAGCGGCCGACTTCGGCTCAGGTCATGATCTCGCGGTCCGTGAGTTCGAGCCCCGCGTCGGGCTCTGTGCTGACAGCTCAGAGCCTGGAGCTGTTTCGGATTCTGTGTCTCCCTCTCTTTGACCCTCCCCTGTTCATGCTCTGTCTCTCTCTGTCTCAAAAATAAATAAACGTTAAAAAAAAAAATTTTTTTTTAAAGATATTATCACGATTTACCACAATGGCCAATTTCCGGAGTGGCAAAATGGGACCAAAAATCCCTGCTTTTCAGGGATTGTAGGTGATTGATTTCATTTTACTCCTCTTACGTGTTACTTCGGTTCTCCTACAATGAACATGAAAGGCATTACTAGGGGCACCTGGGTGGCTCAGTCAGTTAAGGAGCCGACTCTTGATTTCGGCGCAGGTCATGATCCCACAGTTCCTGAGTGTGAGCCCTGCATCGGGCTCTGTGCTGACAGCGCGGAGCCTGCTTGGGATTCTGTCTCCCTCTGTCTCTGCCCCTCCCCTGCTTGCTCTCTAGATCTCTCCAAATAAATAAAAATAAACTCAAGATAAACAAAGGCATTACTAAGGGTGTTTTTCATGCACAGTGATTCTCGTGCCTCGCTCTATCAGAGGTCACCCACTTCAGGGACCCAGACAGCCTGTGATATTTCTTTTCCAAACAGGGAAGCATTCCCAGCTGTGCCCACCCAGAGCAGCTCACCTGGGCTTTCCTACCACACAAGTGTGCACCTGCCAGACACCCGGTCCAGGCACCTCTGCCCTCTGTTGTCACCAGGTGGGGAGGTGGCCACGACACCAAGGGTCCAGACAACCTTTCTGGTCATGTGACGCTCTCGGGCTCCGATGCGCGGCCCTGGCCCACCCTCCAGGAAATCTGGAACCTGGCTGGGGTCCTGCCTCCACCATCCTGGATGAGCCACTGAAAGGCCCAGCGGAGGCCCCTGCGTGTGCTGCTCCCGCAGTCTGATGGTCTCTTCTCCTAGCAGGTCCTCAGCGGAGATGGCTCTTCTTCTGAGGGGCCATTGTGGAGCACCCGGACAAGGTCAGAGTCCCCCCCAGTCTGAGTTCACTCTGTCCTCTCCTTCGTGGTACCCAGTTTGTCATGTAAATGACGTTTTCCTGTCTCCCTGAGCGTCTGTGGGACCAGCGAGGACAGCATGGCCCCTCACCTGCCCCGGCTCGGTCAACTGTGGCACGGACTGTGGGCCTGCCTGTCTTCTTTTGGGGTACTCCCTCTATGTCATCAGTAGCCATCCCCCCTCCACTCCCTTCCCCCGACCTCCCCCTCCCCCCCCCAGCTGACGCCTCCAGCCATCCCCAATCCCCCTCCCGCTGAGAAACCACCAACACATCCTGAAAGCCAGCTCAAGTGAGCCAGCTCCGGCCCCCTCGGGTCTCGTGGTAAACTGGCATATTTTCCACCACTTGGGTTTGGGGGAGGGTGAGGAGAGGAAGGAAACAAGCCTGACCCTCCTTCTCAGACTCTTTCTGTTCTGCCACCTCAGAGAGGCCCATACCGGTCCCCTTCCGCACAATCCCATCTGGCCTCAAGAAGCCCCACGAAATCCCCACCCCCTCCTGGAGGCTGCACGCACTCCTCTGGCCCAAGATGGCTGTTCTGAGTGTCATTTCACACACAGAGAAACTGAGGCTCGGGAAGGTGAGGCCACGGGCCGGAGTTTACCCGGCAAGTCTGGACTCACACCCCTCAGGAGCCCCACCTGCTCCCCTCATTCTCTCATGGAGTCCTCACCGCGGCCCTCTGCAGGAGGCACCCACCTGTCAGGTGAGGAGATGGAGCCCTGAAGGCTGACTTGACCGGCCAAGCCAACTACCAAGAGGCTCTGGCCCCGGTGCCCCGAGTTCTCTCCCACCAGACCCCACCCTCTTCTACCATTCTGTCTTGGGACCCCAAGCCCCGGGCAGCCCAGAGGAAGCCAACAGGACTGGGTGGGGAGGTGTGGCGAGGTGATCAAGGGCAACTCTGGAGCCCACCACGCATGGAATTCAGCTACTAAGGACCTGAGCACCGGAGCTGGGGCTGCCTGGCTGACCTGGCTCGGATCCCGCTCCCAGGCCGGATCGGCTCTGCCAAGCCGATTCCCCAGAGGGGAATCCCCCAGAGGTGTCCAGGGGCCACCAGCCAGAGTAAGGGGCCTCTGGACTACTGCTTGGCCACTCCAGGGCCAGGCCACCTGCACAGGTGGGGCTGGCACCCTTCCCTCCTGTCACCCTTCCCTCTGCTACCCCTTGGCCATCCAGGGGACAGAGAGTGAAGGTCACCGAAAGGAAATGCCCTGGATTTCCCTGGGCTGAGTCAGGGCCCCCTGGACCGCCCCCTGACTAGCAAGGGCTAGCTTCTCACCCCACGGGCTCAAGCCTGAGACTGCTGGCTTCCAGCTAGGCACTCACAGCACCCCCCCCCCCCTGCCTGTGTTCTGGCATTCCCTCACCTCCTCTATGCCCGTCCCACCCCCAGCCCCACACCGAGGCCAGTCACAGGGTCCCCTTCCCAGGAGGCTTTGTTTGCCTCCTTCAGCCCATGCTGACTCGTGGGCTGGAGCCACACACTTTCCAGGCTCTCACTCGACAAATATTTACTGGGCAAACACAATCCTGCTAATAACAGGATAATGACAAGGCTGCTGATGCTGACTTATCAGCCGGCGCTCACCGAGCACCTTCCCTGCTCCAGGCGCCCGGCTGATTCTCATCTTTAATCCAGACAACCGCCCAGTGCAGGTGTTCTGATCCCATTTCACAGGGGAGTAAACGGAGGCTCCACGAGGTGAAGTGACTTGCTCACGGGCACTTGGCCTTTAAGAGGAGCAGCTGGGCTTGAACCTGGGCCTGCCAAGATGACTCCAGAGCCCCAGCTCCACCAATGGAGGGGTTGAGCTGGCAGGGAGCCCCCACAGTGAATGAAGGGGTCTTGGTAAGACCAGCGGGTTGTATGCCTATTCAGAAGATAGGTGGAGACCCTAGGGACCATCAAGGCAACAATGGTAAACTGAGGCCCAGGGACGGGAAGCCACTCGCTCAAGCCATGTCAGAGCCCACCCTGACCCGGGCTCGGCACCTCTTACCTTGCGCCAGAGCAGCTGGGCCTGCGGCGCCCCCGTGCCCTCGATCTCGTGGCGCATGCTGTTGAAGAGGGCCACGCCATACTGGTCCTCATAAAAACGGAGGAACTCCGTCAGGATCTTCCCGGTTTTCTCTGAAACGGAAGAACAAACAGGCCTGTGAGGTCGTCATGGTTACCCGCAGCCGCCCAGCCCTGCCCCAGGGAGGGGCACCAGCCAAGCTCCAAATTCCTGCTCGTAAAACTATTTGCACAAGCTCCAGGCTTTCACCTGCACTGCGTTTCTGGCCGGAGTTGTGTGTTTCCTGCACACAGAGGGTGAACTTTCGGACAGGAAAACGGGCAACGACTGAGACAGAGAAATCACCAAAGAGAAAACACGAGAAACCAGCAGACAAGGGAAAGAAAACAGCTGAGTCTCCCAGTCATCAAGCAAATGCAGATGGAGATTCCACTCCACTCCCCCCCCCCACCACCCGGTCAGACCAGTCGGGGTGTAGAGAAACAGGCATCTCAACTCAGAGCCGTGGGTTCTAGAAATTGGGACGGCCTTTCTGGGAGGGGTGGGGGGGACACCGCTGCACGTACGATTTTAAGGGTGCATGCGGTTCCCGGATGCCGGGCTCACTCCTCTAGGAATTACCCACGGAGCAAGTCACAGAAGGGCAGGTACAGTATATATTCACCAAGGCAATCAGCGGAAATGGGCCAGATGCACGTGCGTGGAGACGGATTCAGAACATGCCAGTGCACGTGGGACAGGAAGTGGGTGGGGGGACCCACAGGTACCACCAGAGGGAAGGTGTCCACCTTTGGCCACGTAAGGAAAAGCGAGTTACAGAATCACATGTTAAATATTACCTCACTTAAAATTACCCCTGTCTGTGCCTGTAAGTTATTTACACTGGGAGACGGAGGAAAAGGTCCAGAAGGCAGCACTCCTGACTGTTCCGGGTGGGACCCAGGGTGTGGGAATAGGAGGGCCGAGTGAATTGCATTTTCTGCTTTATTCACTTTTACAGCATTTGAATTATTTACCAACCATGATTCCTTCCACAATAAAAAAAAAAAAAAAAATTCTAAAATTAACTCCTCTAAGTTAACCACCTTTTGGCTTTCACCAGCCATTTGCTTCTCTCTGCTGCTAAAGCACTTTCTGAACAGAGAAGGCGACTATTGTGACCTCCAGAGCTCACCCAAAGCACATCAGATGCTCAGTAATGGCCCTGCCTGGGCATCCCTATTTGCAGATGATGAAACCGAGGCCCAGGGAGGGTGGTGACTGTTAACACTCCAGGAGGCCTTCTCCTTAGGAGAGACTTCCTGGCCCTGAGAAGTTGTGGCTCCAGTATCTGGACCTCAGTTCCCTGCACACTAAGACGGGACTCAATGGTGGATGAGTCCAGTCTTAGCGGTGAAACCACCACTGACCGTCCTGGGTTCCAGATTTGAACAACTGGTCCTGGGGCACCTGGGTGGTTTAGGCAGTTAAGCACCCGACTTCAACTCAGCTCATGATCTCACAGTTCGTGGCTTTGAGCCCCGTATCGAGCTCTGTGCTGTCAGTGAAGAGCCCCGCTTGGGATCCTCTGTCGTCCCCTCCCCCCACCCAGCCCACCCTGCTCTCATGCATGCACATGCGCAGCACTCTTTCTTTCCAAAATAAATGGGGGGGGGGGGCGGCACATGGGTGGCTCAGTCGGTTAAGCGTCCGACTTCAGCTCAGGTCACGATCTCATGGTCTGTGAGTTCGAGCCCCGCGTCAGGCTCTGGGCTAATGGCCCAGAGCCTGGAGCCTGCTTCCGATTCTGTGTCTCCCTCTCTCTCTGCCCCTCCCCCGTTCATGCTCTGTCTCTCTCTGTCTCAAAAATAAATAAACGTTAAAAAAAAAAATTTTTTTTTAAATAATAAA